TCGAAGGCGTGTCCATTTGTCTTTCCCGGCTTCACCTTTCTTGCTTTCATCCGAACGGAAGAGATAACCTCATAAAGTGGAACAAGGCAGGCAGATATCACGGGAAAGACAGAAGAGGCGGCGAATTCCAGTTTCCTGCCATGGTCTGATAGCATTATCAAAGCTTGAACACGGGCTGGTGTGACATCGCTTTCTGAAGGACTTGATATTGACTCGAAGATCGTGCGCCGGGCTGCTGGGGACAGATCTTGTCGTGCCGCGACAGCTTCGAGCAGCAGTGAACCACTGCGTCGAGCCTCTGGGGAGCTCTCATTCTGAATCAGATATGCTCCTGCTTCCCATAGAGCAATAGCTTGTTCCGGAGTGTACCACTGAACCGACTTCGCAACTTGTTCCGCCTCCTCGATAGCATGCCCTAAATTCTGCTTCTGGGTCAGGATTCGGAGTGCCGCATCGAAATCCCGCGCACCCGAGGTGTCGGATGAGCTGGAAACCACGCTTCCACGATGCATTGATGATTTCTCTCGCCCGATTAAGCTTTTATCGCGCTCATCCGTTGGTTGTGAGGCCTGAAATTACTGCTGTGTGCGAGTGACACCAAGGAAAACGACCTGAGGTGAATAGTCCTAGGGAATAGGAGACGTCGGCGAGAATTGCTTTTGAGTTTTGAAGCTGAGAGGGAACTGCAGCATCGTCAGATTGCATGCGTTCTTATAGACTAGAGGGTTATATTTGGCTCTTCAAGGCAACGGATCGTATAGCTGGCGGATGACTGGTTAGCAACGGGCCGTGACTGGGAGTTACAGATGCCATGGTCGGCTGAAGCAGGCAAAGTCTAGAGCAGTGTTCCACTTCGCACGCAATCTCACATACTATTGGCAGGTCACATGAAGATTTGAACAGCGCTTAGAGGTCCGCGAAGGGTTATGAGGCTTGGATCGGGCGTTACACTTAAGAACTGTCACGACCTCTTTGAATCGATAGACAAATATACCCCGCAGTAGAAAGCTAGGGTTTTCTGCGGCGGGCAGTGACTATATTCTCAAGTATAAGGATAGCGGTCTTGAATAGACACAGCTGAGTGAAACTATAGTAAACAATTAAATGAAATTAGATTATATCCAGAGCAAGAAAGTGCCAAGCCACTTTTCCCTCAGAGCATCGATGATGATGATCTGGCGGAGGTCGGGAAGGGTTTGATCCGCATGATCACCTGACCCTGAATAGGCAAAATCACCCCGCGGTGGGTTGCCCTTCACCGCCTAGATTTTGCAAAGCAACCGCCAAACAAACTGCCCAAACCAGAACTTTAGCTCCCTCCGCCTCTCACTTAACCTTAAACCATCTTGCCTGAACATATCATTTGGTTTACAAACGGAGCTTTGCCCACTTTCTTTAAAAAGTGACAGTCTCCTGCTGATAGCAAGCCAATTCCGCTCAATTCTCGGATAAACCTTCTATTATCTGTGTCATTGCCTGGGCAGCTTGATCACTACCCCACTCCTCAAAATGGCTGACGGTCTTGGGGCTGTTGCGCAGCTCCTTGAGGCAAGTTTGGACCCAAGGCAAAACAAGCAAGGTTAGTCTTGTCTTTTATCTTCCTGTTGATGCTGCAGTCTCGCTTCAGTGCTCTGTCCTGTCAAACACTTTTGATGGTCATTCATGCACTTCGCAAAGCATATGTCTAACTTTTTTTTCCCTAGCCGAACTTGCTCTCCGCCAGGAGGAGAAAAAGCCGGGCTTCTCTTTGCAGCTTCTTCAAATTACTGCCTCTGCTACCTACCCTTATACTACCCGCTTGGCTAGTTCGCTTTGCTTCAAGAACTTCATCAAGAGGAACTGGACCGACGAGGATGGAAACTACAAGCTCCAAGCGGACGAGGTTGCCACGATTAAGCGGGAGTTGATCAGTTTGATGATCTCCGTGCCTGCAGGCATCCAAAGCCAGCTCGGAGAAGCTGTCAGCGTGATCGCTGATAGTGACTTTTGGGAGAGATGGGATACCCTAGTGGATGTAAGTCATGGCCGTCGCATACTCGTTGCAGGGCTCTCAATTGACCTCTGTAGGATCTTGTTTCCAGGCTCCAACCGACCAACCCCACTGTCAACAACGGCGTTCTCCAAGTCGCGCACTCAATCTTCAAGAGATGGAGACCATTGTTCCGGTCGGATGAGCTGTACAGTGAAATCAATCACGTTCTCGAGAGATTCGGCAGTCCCTTCTTGGCTCTGTTCGAGGTACATATACTCCGGAATGCCCTACCGTCTATTCAAGACTATAGATTTGCGGTGTTCATGTGCTGATTTGGTTTTAGGGCTTGGATGCTTTCCTCCAACAAAACACTGCCAACAAAGAAAATCTCATCCAGGGATTCACCCAGCTCAACTTGATGGTCAAGTTGATGTACGACCTCTCTTGCCACGATCTTCCACCAATGTTCGAAGAAAATATTTCAGGGATAGCTTCACTTCTACTTAAGTACCTCACATACGATAACCAACTGCTGCACACCGATGATGACACCGAAGCCGGGCCATTGGAGTTCGCCCGCGCCGGGATCTTCCAAGTCTTGACTCTTTATGTCCAGAAGTACATGGATGAGTTCAAGCCTCATGTCGGCCAATTTGTCGAAAGCTCCTGGAACTTCCTGACCACCGTTGGGCAGGAGACCAAGTACGACATTCTGGTTAGCCGAGCTCTGCAGTTCTTGACTTCCATTGCTGGCATGTCTGAGCACGCAGTTGTCTTCCAAGCGGAAGGCACACTTGGCCAGATCATCGAGAAGGTCATTTTGCCCAACGTCAGCTTGCGCGAATCCGACGAGGAGCTTTTCGAGGATGAGCCCATCGAGTTCATCCGTCGTGACCTTGAGGGTTCCGACAGCGATACCAGACGCCGTGCCGCCACCGACTTCTTGCGTCGGTTGTCGGAGAGATTCGAAGAATCTGTCACTACTGTTGTCCTCAAGTATACGGAGCACTACCTTGCGGAATATGCCAAGGATCCTGCTTCGAACTGGAAGGCCAAGGATACCGCCACTTATCTCTACTCCGCAATCGCAGCCAAGGGAATTGCCACTGCCAGTCACGGTGTAACAGCCACGAACTCGCTCATTAGCATCACCGATTACTTCCAGAAGCACCTTGCTGCCGATCTTGTGAACAGTGAGGGAGTCCACCCAATTCTCAAGGTGGATGCCATCAAGTATTTGTACCTCTTCCGGAGCATCATAACCAAGGAACAGTGGCAAGAGGTGCTTCCTATGCTTGTCAACCAGCTTGGCTCTTCGAACTTTGTTGTGTACAGCTACGCCGCTATTGCTGTCGAGCGAGTTCTCTACCTTGCCGATGCCCAGGGCCAGCCAATTATCGCTCCTGGCACTATCACTCCCTTGGCCAAGGATCTACTCGAACACATTTTCTCCCTGATTGAAAAGGACCCCGCTCCCGAGAAGGTTCAGGAGAATGAGTTCCTGATGAGATGTGCCATGAGAGTTCTTATCGTCATCAAGGAGGGTGTTGTTCCCCACACCGACAGTGTCCTTCAGCACCTGATCAATATCACGACTGTGATTAGCCGCAACCCCAGTAACCCTAGGTTCTATTACTTCCACTTCGAAGCTCTGGGTGCCTTTATCCGGTATGTGTGCAATCTGGCCATCCGCGCTCCAAGCACTGACATTTCTCTAGTTTCGCCGCCCCCGCCAATCCGGAGAAACTCGAGCAAGCTCTTTACACGCCTTTTGCTGAAATTCTACAAGGTGACGTTCAAGGTAATATAGTCTGCAAGCATAAACTCTCACGGACTGTTGCTGATATATGTACAGAGTTCATGCCTTACATTTTCCAGCTTTTTGCCGCTCTTCTCGAGGCCAATCCTTCCGGAACCTTGCCGAGCTATTACCAGAACCTGATTGGACCTATTCTCATGCCTGTCATGTGGGAGTCGAAGGGTAACATTCCGGCGCTGGTGCGGCTGTTGTCCAGTATTATTCCTCGTGGTGCTGAGTACATCATTCAAAATGACCAAGTTGCACCTATCCTTGGTATCTTCCAGAAGTTGCTCTCCACCAAGACCAACGAGGGTTATGGATTCGACTTGTTGGAGGCGGTCGTTACAGGATTTCCTCCGTAAGTTGACCACTCAAGCAAAAACTTATAATAGAACATGTTGCTGACAGCTTCGCAGTGCGACACTTGAGCAGTATTTCGTCTCCATCATGCAGGTCATCCTCACTCGTCTCCAGAATTCGAAGACTGAGAACCTTACTATTCGATTCGTTCGTTTCTTCCACTTTGTCTCCGCACAGGACGAGAAGGGCTACAGCGCCGACTTCTTCATCCAAGTGGTTGACAAGGTACAACCGGAGTAAGAATCTTTCCGTCCCAGTAATCGCTAGCACGTATGCTAATCTATGTTCAAAGCCTGTTCACGCCTATCTACTTGAACATCATTCTTCCAGAGACGCAGAAGCTCGCCCGTCCCTTGGACCGCAAGACTGCCGTGCTGTCATTTACCAAGACTCTGGCTAATTCGGAGGCATTTGCCAGCCGCTATAAGAAGGGATGGGCTTTCACCTGCGAGGCTCTTCTCAAACTTTTGGAGCTTCCTCCTCTTCCTGCGAGCAAGGACGACATCATTGCTGAGCACGACGTCGAGGACATGGCATTTGGTGTCGGTTTCACCGCACTCAACAGCATCCGGCCCGTGCCTCGTGATCCTTGGCCCGAGACCGGAGCTGATCTTAAGGTCTGGACGGGCAAGTACCTGAAGGAAGCGGACGCTAAATCAAGTGGCCGGATATCTGGCTTCGTTCAAGAGCGTCTAGGTGAGGATGCCAAGCGCGTGCTCACCAGTTACATCGCATAAGCAACTTCGACTTAGGTTGTCGTCCTAAGTCTGGGTACTTTGCTGGAGTTTCTCAATTTTTTTTTGCATATTCCCCTTAAAATAAACCATGGAGAGGAAATAGTATGTGGGAGCAAGTAGCTCCCTGTATGTCCTGATGAACTATAAATGAACATTTTTAATCTGCTATAATGGTTATATGTAATTCAATCTGTATGTGCAACGGCGCGTACGGCGCGTATTCATCTCGATAAATACGCCGTTTCAAAGCGCGTCATCTGGAACTGGTTGATGGAGACAACGAAAAGCTGCAGTACCTGCTGTAACTCTCGAGGAAATGATAGTTCATAAGCTTGTTTATCTCTTCTGCTCAGGCTCTTGTGCTTCTGAGAGCTCGTTGGCTTTGTCTTCTTCATGACGATGAGAGTCAGTATTGCTCGCGTCGTCTTCCTCATCGTGAGATTTCTCCACCCCCTCGACCTCTTCCGTTGCTCCTTCCTGGCCCTTCTCCAGCTCCCGATATTTGCGCCGAGCCTTCTTCACCTTACTTGCCTTCTTCTTTCGCGCGCGGTCGGCCTTGATGGCGGCACGACTCTTGTCCCCATTCAGAAGCTCCTCGACCTTATCCCCTAGGATGTGACGAGCATATTTCTCGTTTTGCGACCTCGACCGGGTAGCTTGCGACTTGACGACTATGCCAGTGGGCTTGTGAATAATTTGGACGGCGGAATTGGTTTTGTTCTGGGCAGATATTGCCGGACGAGTTAGCGCGTGATGCTCTGCATGGGAGGAAAAGGGTTTCCACAGGGCTTCCTGAGAGTGACGTACAATTTTTTGACCACCGGGACCGGTGCCCTTCAGGTAAGATATCGTCAAGTCGGCATCTTGGAACTTTAGGCGAGGAGGGAGTGGCTTGTCGGCCAGAGAGAGGGCGGAGAGAGAGAATGACCGCCGAAAGAGATTGGAAGTCGAGATGAGTGTGAGGGGGTTAGTATGACGAGCTATTTGTGAGGGACGAAACATGGTGATTGAAGGAGCTGTGGCAGTAGTAATGGCCGTAGTAGCTACGGAGCACTGAGTAAGCCTACAATATACTCGCAATGCTCATGATTGTTCTTCTTGGTTGTAATGTATTGATGGTATGGCCTTACCATACCGACTCAGCACACGTGAGTGCCAGTTACAGTAAGTTTCTTCAACAATCTTAACAACCTTCATTACATATTGATATACAAAGACTCATTCAACGATTCCTCATAGTCGAACAGTGACCTGTATCTGGGATCTTCACGGCGTTGTATCCTGGACTCCCGATGAGGTTTGGATTACACTCGGGATTGTTTCTGTCCAGCCATAGAAAATCCTCTGCTAGTGGAAAGGCTGACGTACGCTTTTCTGTGGATTCATGGAGTTTACACGCCAATCAGTCATCGAGCACAGCCACTGGAACCAAGCTCGCTGTTACGGTACGAGTACGAGAAAGCGAAACTGCGCATAAAATGAATGTACTCGAGTACCCTGACTGCTGGACTGGACCCTTACTAGTGGAACCTGAGTCTTTTATGCTGCGGTAGTGGTAGACACTTTATCTGCTTAGTGTCCTGCAGCCAATTTGAAACAGTGTCCAGATCCAGCATGGACTTGACGGGGGGTTCGATTTAGTCTTCCATTCGCTCCCTACTGCATTTTTTTCTTTGAGGCTACTCAATCTTAACGTATTTCCCAACCATTCTACTCTGTACAGCTGCTGTTCTTTTTCTTTCCACTCCCTCGACCCCCCCCCCTCCCCACTTTCAGGAGACACGACGGGAAGAAGTTACCTGCCACTTCTACAGTTGTACTCTCACTGGCCCTTTATCCTCTCAACTGGCTGCGCATAAGTCTTTTGTGAACCTTTTCTCGTCCCACGGAGATTCCTTCAACCCGCACTCCGTTGTCTCACCCGCTTACCTATCGGCCGTTTACTTGTCTGCCTAGACTATAACTTCCTGAGCTCGTCGCTTCGCTTCGCTTCAGCTGTCAGTTTCTCTGTCTGTCAGATCATGGATGCTTGGTAGATCTTGGCACCACTTGCTCTCATCCCATCCCTTCTTCAACCACCACTCAACAAAGTGCATTTCTCCTAAGAGCATCAGCGATAGATCCCCTGAAGCCGACTCTCCCCACATCACCATCGCCTGGTTGCTACACCATATTTCCTCAATCAGTCTTATCAGCTGCCTATTCTCCTAAGTCAGCTTGAACGCTTTCGCAATTGGCGGATCCACAGCAATGACATTTCTGCTTTGGCTTGTCACGAATCTCGTGCGCTGGGTGCGACTGAAGATCTATCAGTATGAGGTGACTTTCGCCGTGTATATGCTCACTCCTACAGAAAAGTTCATCTTTAGTGCGTCAAGCCGTGTCCCCCCGAAGCGATTTATGCTTAAGAAACTATGTCCCCAGTCCCAGGATATGGCGCGCTAACACTGGAACTCAAAAAGACTCTCTCCTCCTCACCCTCCTCACCATGATTATCACCGGCATTTACGTCTATTTGCCCGATCATATCCGAGCCATTTACAGCCACTTATACTACTACTGGGTCGGCGAACGTCCATTCATCTCCGGGAATCTTCCGACCATCAGTTCAGTATTCCGCGAAGTCGGCACTCAGACGATGGATGTCCTCTACGAAACAGCCAAAAACCAAGCTGCCACGGTCACTGATTCGATTGCCGAACTCTGACCTCTCCATTGCCTTGGTCTCCGCACTGATGTGACTTCTACCTCCCCACCTCTTCTCGGACTTCGGCTTCCGGAAGCTCGGAAACAACGACGCACTTTGTTTGCTGAGGTGCATTTCCAGCTGTGATACCATTGGGGCCTATTACCATTCTTTCTGCTATCACCATTCGCATTAATATCTGTTCTTAATCCACCCCCCACACATCTGCGGCACCCCACATCTATTCGTCCTCGAGCATGAATTGCATCAGCATTGCACGATAAAAGCGCAGCTTCTTTTACCTCTTGGTTCATGATACTGTTGCAACGTTGTTTCATGGCGTTTGAGCGATACAATCTTCCCTGGGTCGGCGCATTCTAGGCGTTCATCATCGTTAGATCCACCTCGTGGCCTTTTTTTTCTAAAGCCCGCCACCTTGACTCGTCTTCCTGTCCATACTGTATCGAAGCTACTATTGCTATGAGAGAATATTCTTATAGTGCCTGTCAATGTTGTGCATGCCTCCGAGGCCACTTGGCCGAACATCGTTCATGGATGGCACCGTGAAGAATAAGCTTGGTTCTGTAACGCGGGGACTGTAAACTAGACTACATATCGTAAGTACAGCGCAGCGTATCCGTGGGATTCGAACATGCAGACACCGAGACTCGAGACGAACATACTACCATTAAGCATTGAAGTACAATTTTGGTCTGCAGCTAAAGAAAAAACTCCCGAGAACAAAAAGCAAAAAGAGCCCTCCAACCCAATATACAACTCCGGTCATGCTCAGAGGAGAGTGTTATACAATGGAGAAAAAACAAGCGCACCCCGGCCAGAGATAGTACATAATCGAGGGCACCAACCTCACCATATCGGAGCGGACACGGACACTGATAACCCAAACCGACCCTCTCCCCGCTGGGGAATCCAACGCAAACAATCAATAAAGGCATAAATCTTTTTTCCTCCGGGTCAGGATGTCAAGGCAAAGCCTGGCATTTAAACCATCCGCACCGCAACGCAACCTTTTTTCTTTCATCCCGCCCAACAAACAAGTCACTCAAAAGGAGGGAAACTACTCCGCACTGCTGGCAGATGCTTCCGTCTGTGCCTGAGCCAGCCGCAGCTCCGCCTCCGCCGCCTCCCGCTGCCTCCGCTCCCGGCGGATGGCGTCGTTCATGCGCATGCGGTTCAGCTCGCGGTCGATCTCCTCCTTCTCGAGCGGGATCTTGTGAGATTGTTCGGCGGTGGGCCAGAAGCCCTTGACGGTGAAGCGGTCGTCGAGGTTCGTGCCGAAGTAGTACATCCAGCCGATGGGGAAGAGGATGTAGGTTCCAAACTGTGCGCAGGTGACAGAGTGAGAATTGGTTTAGTGTTCGGCATGGGGATATGCTTGAAGGAAAGCGGAGATTACCTTGAAGACTTCGAGGTTTCCACCCTGGAGTTTGCGGAGGATGGAAGACATCTTGTGCGATTTGTGGCGGAGGGGAGGAGTGTGAGGGGGGGAGATGTATGAGAGTCTGATGCCGTATATACGGGTTTGCTTGGTGGTTGTGTTGGGAATTGTTTTCTTGAACGAAGAACGGATATCGTTGGTACTCGTCTGTCTGTCCGGTCTCAAGCCAGTCAGTCAGTCTCCGGGGCGGGAACTTTTGGTGATGCTCTCCAATGGTCTGATACGATTATCTTCACGGAGCTTCTGACAAGCCGAACCCGCCTCCAAGCCCGGGATCCTTGCAAACGCAGCAAACACCCCACGTGCAATACAGCCGTAAAAGTCATGTGACCATATGTACTTGGCGATGCCGTGAGCCTCGGCTTGTTCTTTTCCTATGCTCGGCCCGCTGGACTCTCCCCGCATAAGCAGGCCTAGCGTTCTGCAGCGGAGACTGGCCCCGTCTACTTAGCCCCCAGCGTTTCCCCAGAATAGATATACCTGCTCTTTCCTTTCCGTTGCTCCTTTATTCCGTAGAATCTCGTGTCCGGTGCATGAATTTGGTCTGATTTAGCCTCATTGCATAACGGTTCCAGCGCACAAGGTCGTGTGATCTGAATTTACTGCCTGAATTTGTCTCACTCACTGGAGGAAGTGCATAGACACATACATCAACATTAGAAAATTCCCCGCAACACATCGCCCTACACATAAGTACAGTACAAGCCCATCCAACATGACCGACGAGAGCCTCATCACAATCACATACCAAGGCCGAATCGCCATCATCACTCTGAACCGACCCCAGAAACTCAATGCCCTGGACCAAGACCTCTACTACCTACTGGGCGAACGGCTCCGCGAAGCCGACGCAAACAAGGACACCTACATCACGATCCTGACCGGCAAGGGACGATTCTTCTCCGCGTGAGTTTTTTTTTTTTGCCCGACGCCCCGACTGCGAAGCCCAACTCACCCTCAAAAAAATCCCAGGGGCGCCGACGTAACCATCACCCGCCCCAACGGCGGCAGCCTGAACAGCAGCGCGCGCCGCGACCTCCTACGAGGGTTCGTGGCCAACAACCTAGACATCACGCGGACGTTCGCGCACCACCGGAAGATCCTGATCGTGGCGCTTAACGGGCCAGCCGTGGGGCTGTCGGCGGCCCTGATCGCGCAGGCGGACTTCATCTACGCAGCGCCGCACTCCTTCCTGCTGACGCCGTTCTCCTCGCTGGGGCTGGTGGCCGAGGGCGGGGCGTCGCACGCCTTCGTCGAGCGGCTGGGCATCGCCCGGGCCAACGAGGCGCTGCTGATGAGCCGGCGCATCCCGTGCGAGGCGCTGGTCGCGGCCGGGTTCGTCAACGCCGTGGTGACCCCGGAGTCCGGGCGCGCGGACGACTCCGATGGGTTTTTGGTGAAGGTGCTCGCCGAGGTGGAGGAGCGATTGGGCACGCATTTGAATCAGGAGAGTCTATTGCGGATCAAGGAGTTGGTAAGGCGGCCCGGGAGAGAGGTGCTTGATCGGCAGAATGGGTTGGAGGTGTTTGCTGGGTTGGAGCGGTTTCTCAGTGGGGTGCCGCAGGAGGAGTTTCGGAAGTTGGCCTCGGGGGAGAAGAAGCATAAATTGTAGGGGTTGGGGTTTGTTGAATGATTTTTGAGGGAAGGAGCCGGGGGGGTGGGGGTGGAGATTGTGCTTGTATTGCGCTGCGCCGGGCTTAGATGATACATCCTTCAAGCGCGAGGGGGTCTTGAGTTTGTATTGTAAACAGCTCAACAATGGTTGGATTCATGAAGCTTAATTTTGATATCACAGATTCTATTTTCAAGAACGCCCTCGAAACCTGAACACCATCACCTAAATTGATACCCTCATAAAAAACATCACTCGTCTGAATCGGATTCCTGCGTCTGCTTGGCCAAGATATCCTGCCACTGCCCGAGAAACTCGCTCATGCCCCCCGGCCCCGTAAGGGAAGCATCCACCACTTCCTTGGGCAACTTATGCGCCGAGTACTGTGGCGTCGTGAAAGCATATGCCTCGGGGTCATCGCGCTTCACCAGCCGGAACTCCGCGAACAGCGGGGCATCGTCATCGTCGTTGCCCTCGTTCTCGGATTCCGACTCGGACTCGGACTCGGGCTCTTCTGCCTCCTCCTCCTGCTCCACTGCACCGTTGGCACCGCGGAGAGACAACCGAACGAACTGCTCTTGTGCGCCATCATCTTCCTCCTCCACGATACCGACGGGGTCCTTCATCGTCAGGATCTCGAGCCAGCTAAACAGCAGCGAATCGGTCCGCTCGGCCCACGGGTTGATGTCGATCAGCCAGACCTTCTCGTGGGGCGGCGGGATGTAGACGTCGAACACGAAGCTCGGGTCGGGGAACGTGCTCTTCAGCTTGTCGTCGAAGAACGCTTGGATACGCGACCGGAGCGCATCGCGCATGGGGAACAGGAAGTCGAAGTGATTCTGGTCGCGCTGGCAGATGCAGAGCAGCACGCGGTTGCGCACCCAGCACCGGAATTCGAGAGACGGGTTGAAGTTGACGTATTTGCGGAGGATGAGGTGGTAGGGGACCTCAGGCGGAGTCTCGGAGGGCGCGGAGTCGGCAGGTGTGGCATCAGCGGCAGCGGCAGCGTCGGGAACGCAGTCATCGAAAGGATGTTCTAGGTCATGAGTGATGAAATCACTGCTCTTCAGCAGCAGATAGATGTCGTTGGGCGTGCGGCACTGTAAGTCGTTGGTGGCCGACATCCAGGTTGCATCTTTCGGAGCACTCCAGTTCAGCTTCGGTGTTACTTTCCCCCCGTATTCGCTGATCGTGGACTTGATTTGGGAGTGGATCTCGGGCCATTCGACTGACGGGTCTGCCTCTTCGGCTTCGCCATCGTCGGAGAAGGTGTCGAGGTTATCGTCGTCGTCTGTGGGCGGGGCAGCCTCCGGCGGCAGAACAATACCGTCGGCACGCAGGTAGGAGACGAACTGGGCGCTCAAGGGAATTACCCGGGATTTGGGGACAAAAGACCGGTACCTGCAGAATGCGAGGGGTTTCAGTCAGTACGCCTAACCAGAGTTGACTGGCTGGTGATGGGTCGAACGTACCGAGGTTGCCAGCTGTGATACGAGCAGTTCAAGATGTGGGAGTATGTAATCGGAGGAAAGGGTAGTCTTGTCAAGGGTTCGGAGGGAGTCCCCTCTGCTGCAGGTGTCTCTGGAGGGTCAATATGAGGCATGGTGACAAAAAGGTGCAATAATGCAAGGTTAGATGCGAGATTTGTATCCGCAGAAAGAATGGTCCCTTGTCGATCGCAAAGAGAGTCTGCGGGGCAGCCACTTTTTTTGGAGTGAGTCAAGTTCCTTGCCGAAAGGGGAATAGTGTACGGAGTCCAGACGGACAATGCCACGTGCTGCCTCAGGCACGACTGATCGTCATCCACTCGTTCTGGCCTGCGTAGCAACATCGACAACCCCGGCCTTATCGGCGTCACCGTTCTTCGGCAGTCGTTGGCCATCTTTGGCAAGCACTCGGTGATTTTTCCCATGGCTTCAGACGGTCCGGATCCTCAAAGCCTGAAATCATGGCAGGATGCATTCCAATATCCAATTCCAACCGTGCGCCGCGTGGAGCAGGAGCTGCGGCGGGACATTGCGAGCAATAAGGAGAGGCTCCGAGCTCTGGTTGGGTATGCCGTGGTCGCCCCGGGATTTGAATTGATAGGCTAATTGTTGCTTGTGCATATAGGACGCGATATAGAGAGCTTGTGGGGACCGCCGAGAAGATCGTTTCCATGAATCGTGAGATGGAGGAGGTGGATTCAACGCTGGCGGACATAAGGCGAAGGTGTAACCCGCGGTTAATGGAGAAAACGTACGCCCATGTCCAGGCAGTCGCGTCGAATAAGGGTACAGCTCGTTCTAAGTGCGCGATTGATTCGTTATTTACTGATGGCTTGTATCAGACTCTCCCGAGCGAGCTCTCACAGGCCAGCTTGCCTTACTTCATCGCTCCGCAGTGTCGATGTCGAGGCTCCTCAGACGGCGAGGCCCGCTCCTACTCATCGCCAAGCTCACGGTCATCTCACGGCTGCTTCATAAGACCCTATCGCAACAACCGACGGTGCCGCCCTTCGTCGAGAACCTCCGCAATCAACTCGCTTCCCTCCGCCGAACCCTGCTGCGAAGAGTCGACAAGCGCCTTGCTCCTGCGAAGTCAACGCCAGACGAAATCATTGAAGCGCTGGCTGCTTACTGCCTAGCCACCAGCTGTTCTTCAGACGATGCGATCCGATATTTCCATCAAATACGTCTAGATGCTATTGGGAGCCAGCTCGAGCTCAATGACCCTCCAGGCGAGAACATCCTGAACAGCTTGCGCCTTTACATTCGCACGTTACAATCTTCCAAGGTCCTACTTTCGCGGCGGCTGTCCGACGTACTGAACAAGTTGAAAGCGCGGCCACTTCTCACAGACCCCGAGATTTGCGGCCTAGACGATCTGGACCTTGGTGTCTTAGGGCGATGGGTAACTTCAGATGTCAGCAACTTCACCCCTTGGATCAAATTGAGCGAACTGTCCAGGGCGGAAGTCGATAACATCATCAAGACGTGGTCAGAGGCTGCCTTCGACAAGTATATGCAGGGGTCTCGAGAGTCATTGAAGAATTGGTCGGATTTCTCTAAACTCCTTACACTTCGTGAGCAAGTGTTAGAACTCTGGTTAAGCTCCCGGAGCTCAACGCCCGCCCACTCGTCTTTGCAGGTGTTGGAGGGCATCAGGTCTGTTTTGAACGAACGACTTACCAATATTCTGGTGAACCAAGCGAAAGACTTGGACAAGTTCGGCCAAAGTATTGCATCCACCGTCGCGGGCTGGAGCAATTTGGATCACACATATTCCCACTCACTTTGGGACGAGAATCTTATCTCAATTGACTACTCCAATGGCTCCGCTTACTTCAAAGAAGCTGTTGTGGATAGGCTTTTTGGACGAGACGGGGACATTGTCTTATCTCTCGGAAAGTACCAAGCTTGGCTTGTGTCGGTAGACAAGTCCAAAAGCTCTATCGACGCTTTGCGCCAAATTCGATGGTCTGATATTATTGATGAAGGCGAGGACGAAGACTTAGACGTTGACATTCCGGGAATCTTGACTGATGATGATCCCCGGTTGCTGCGTGAGGCTCTCGAGGCTGCTATCAAGGAAGCTTTCGAGACTCTTGATCGTTCCTTTTGCGAGATCTTCAAAGCGCTCGAAGATCCGAGCCTGAATGAGCAGGTCGCATTTCTGCTCAAGCTCATCAGACTAATCCGGAGAGAACTACCCGTCGACTTTATCCCGGTAGGCTACGCATTCGCCGATAGTGTTATCCCTCAGTTACAAGAGATACTTGCTGCCGAGATAGTGGCGCACACGAGGCCATGGAGCCCGTCAGCTCGCTCAACTAAAAAAGCTCGAGGACTCCCAGGTCGCTCCCTTTGGGAAGGTGACCCAGCAATCCCTGTGCAACCGTCACCATCGGCGTTCAAATTCCTGCGCCGACTAGCGACAAGTATGAACCAATATGGCCCCGGGCTTTGGGATGCCTCGACCGTTCGATGTTTCAAGCGCACTGTACAGAAAGAACTCGTCAAACCCATTGCCTCTAGGATGGAAGAATTCAAGTCACCTTCTGTTCAGAATGGGGCTACTGATTCTGAAGCGGAGGTCAACGATGGTGAAGCGCCAAATTCGAACGGGAATGAGAGTCCACAGCAAAAGGCTGAGACGGAGAACGCTGACCCATATAAATATCTTCAAGACCATATGATCCAGCTATATTTTGACGCCTCTTACTTCAGATCTGCCTTTGAAGTTGGTGACTCGGAGGCGAGCCACTTGGCGGACGTACTGGAAACGATTCGCGGAGAGCTTGAACCTCAATTGCAGGTTGCGAAGAAGATTGACAAAGCGGCCCATGAGCACTGGAAGCGAACCTACCTTCTATTCGGTCTTCTGGCAGAGAAGGTCGAGCCGTAAGGTTGTACAGTTGTTCTTGTATATAAAGGCATTATCCACACTACACTGCACAAATGAATGACCAATCGCAATCCCTGTATAGATGATGTTACAGAACCGTCCAGACTTGTCCATATTAGGAGTAGTGTCCGCGGGGGAAACTCACCGCCCACGTCACGTTTCCGCCGGTGACAATGACTTCGCCGCGGGAAAAGGCAATGCGTTCATCTCCTTCCTGACCATTCTCATGCTGGTTGTTGCTCGCAGTGCTTCCTGACCTCTTTTACTGTCCCTGCTCAGCCTTCATTCCTTCACCATGGCCACTCCTAGGCTTCCTTTCCTTTATCCGAACCTCATGCGAGCGGTCCGATCATGCGAACCCACGACCCACCGCTCCATTCGCGCTCCATACTCCAGCAACCAGCAAGCCCCCTTCCACACTGCTCGCAGATACGCCCCAGAAACCTACCATCGTCGATACGGACCTGCCGCGGAGGCCAACCTCCCTCCCCCCTTGAAGCCCAAAGACGGTTCCTCTGAGAACCAAGCTCCCGCATCCCCAGGCCAGGAAACCAGCGCTTCGAACCCTGCCCCGCAAGAACAGTCATCGCCGAAGGAGGACAAGGCCGAAGCTC